ACAAGATCTACAGAGAGAAACCTTATCTCAAAAAACCAAAAAAGAAAACAAGTACTTGCTATTTCATTTAGTATTGCAAATGCAAGTCTAGTAAAATAATGTATGAAAATGCTTAGCCATAGCTGGCATATAATATAAGCATAGCCAGCATCAACTTTATTTATTTATTTACTTAACTTACTTACTTATTCATTCATTTTGTTTTTTGAGACAGGGTTTTTCTGTGTAACAGCCCTTAGCTGTCCTGGAACTAGCTCTGTAGAGCAGGTTGACCTTGAACTCACAGAGATCCACCAGCCTCTGCAGCCCAACTGATGGGATTAAAGGTATGTGCCTCCACTGCCTCACCTGTTAGCATTAATTTAACCATTTTATTTAGGACATCATTGGAATACACGCTAAGCAAGACATAAGAGTAAGACTGTTTGACTTCATAATCAAAATGAAGTATAATGGAAATGAGACAAGACAGAACATTACAATACTATATAATAAAGTACTAGATTTGTAAACAGTAACTGTTACAACTTAAGATGGGTATAATCACAAGGAGAGGCACATGAAGCCGTTCATAAAAGCTATTTGTGTGGGACTGCAAAAGGCGATGATGATTGCTCTGAACAGAAATCACTCACGCCACCTCCCCTCGAGGGAGAACTGAAAAGCATCCCATGAATGCCATGACAGCAGGCACCATGTGTGCAAATGAGCTTGAAGAAAGAGGAGGGGAGGCAGGAACACACGGGAACACACTGGTGTAACAGTAGGTACTCTGCTGGCAGTCCTTTGAAAGCTTTGTACGGTTTATCCTGGCACTTGGGAGGCAGAGGCAGGCGGATCTCTGTGAGTTCAAGGCCAGCCTGGTCTACAAGAGCTAGTCCAGGACAGGCTCCAAAGCTACAGAGAAACCCTGTCTTGGGGGAAAAAAAGAAAGAAATGGTGATCCTTCTTCCAAAATCTCAGAATGAGACTGTGCCTGAGAGTGTTTCTTCTCTAGTGCTGGGATGAAAGACATGCACTGCCTGGTTTCTATGGCAACTAGTATGTAGTTTGGCCTACAAGGATTAAAGGTGTCTGTTACCACTGCCTGGCCTGTAAGGCTGACCAGTGGGGCTGTCTTACTCTCTGATCTTCAGGCAAGCTTAATCTATTAAAATACAAATGAAATGCCACTATAAGCCAGGGCCACATAAAGAATTCCAATCTCACAAAACAAAACAAAAAGGCAAAACTGTTTAGGGAAAGCTCCATTCCTTTTCTCTCAGAGAATCTCCAACAAAGAAAAACTGGGGGCTGGAGAGATGGCTCAGCGGTTAAGAGCACTGACTGCTCTTCTCAACGACCCGGGTTCAATTCCCAGTACCCACATGGTAGCTCACAACTGTCTAAAAATCCAGTTCCAGGGGATCTGACACCTTCACACCAATGCACATAAAATAAAGTTAAATAAACCATAAAAAAAATTAAAAAAAATGTTTATTTAAAAAAAAAAAAGCTGTGAAAACGTCCAGTCGTGCATTCTTGCTGGCTGTATAGGCTCCTCCCCTGAAGTTGCCAGAGACCCAATCTCTGCCTAAAGCATTACCACTGGGCACAAACCCAGCCTATGGAGGATGTGCTGTCACCCTTCAACTACAGGTACAGAAGCACCCTCCTTTAGTTCGGGCCATGCTTTCTCTGGCCCCTTCTTCAGCCTTGATCTCTGGGGGCTAGAGGACTCACCCAGGAGTTGCATTCCTCAAAATAAACCTTTTCTTTTTCAATTTGGATGGATCTGGTTTACTGTGTTGGTGGAGAAACCTATTAACAGGGTACAGAAAACCTATTATCTTGATACTAGAAATCCAGGAAGACCTGAGCTTCCTGCCAGTTAATCGGCCATGGAGGGGTGGTACTCCTCACCCTTTATCTTCGACTGGATTGAATTTTGATACCCATTTCCAAGCCACCGCCTGCAGGAGACCCCAAGAGTCTGACTCAGAAGAGGTCTTGACCTGGAAGAGGTACCTTGCAGTCAGTCTTAACCTCCCACACCCCTGACTCAGATTTTATTTCATCAGCTTGGCCTCAACACAAATCAATGGTCAAAATCGACGACCTCAATTTCCACATTCTCACAGACTGTTACCATCTACTGCCACAAATGATGTCCAAATATTTTATACCTGACTCTATGCTTTGTCCTTTTCCTCTAAGGCTCTACTTCCTCACGCCTAAAAATCTTTTTTTTCCCCTATGATTTCTTTGTATGTTGCTCTCTATATTTTTTTTTAAATATTTATTTATTTATTATGTATACAATATTCTGTCTGAATGCCTGAAGGCCAGAAGAGGGCGACAGACCTCTTTACAGATGGTTGTGAGCCACCATGTGGTTGCTGGGAATTGAACTCAGGACCTTTGGAAGAGCAGGCAATGCTCTTAACCACTGAGCCATCTCTCCAGCCCTGTTGCTCTATATTTTAAGATTATACTGTAAACTCTTTTCTTTCTTTCTTTTCTTTTGGTTTTTTGAGACAGGGTTTCTTTGTGTAGCCCTGGCTTTCCTGAAACTCACTCTGTAGACCACACTGGCCTAGAACTCAAGAGATCCATCTACCTCTGCCTTGCAAGTGCTGGGATTAAAGTTGTGTGCCACCATTGCCTGGCTCTACACTGTAGACTGTAAACTCTTGTTTCAGGATTTGTAAATTGTTCATCTGGCATGGTTTAAAATCTATGTAATTTATAACAAAGTCTGTTTCCATGGAAAGTTTTGTTTGTCTGTCAGAGACCAGCCTCGACAAAAAATACCTCTTGCCAGGGTAGAGGTGTGGGGATTTAGAAAATTTAAGTAAAGAATATGAAGATGCAAAAGAAAATAATAAAACGAAGAAACATATAGGAATAGTATCGGGAGGGAATTCCAGTGAGTACTGAAATTCACCCGTGTTTAATTTCCAACTGCTTAAAATACCCAACCCCAAAAGATAAGAATAAAACAAAAAACTACATTAATATAATACAAGGAAATGAACAAACCAACTGAGGTTGCGGGCTACATTCACAGTTAAACATTCTATTGCTACAACAAAACAAGTCACACTCACTCTCTAGACCAAAAACACTCTGCAGGCAAACCACTCCCTGGATGGAATCCAAAGTTATGTACTTAAGGGAACCAACTAGAACTTAGTTGGATCCTTAGACTGTTGTTTGAGGTATGAACATCTCTGTTCCTGGAGTACAAGGCCTGGCTATTAGCCACATCTGTTGACCTTGAGAGCAGAACTAGGTAAGGACCTTTGTTTGAGGTAGAAACACAATAACCTTGAAGGACTAGAGGTAAGTTCCAACTCTCTGACCTTTGGTCTGCGTGGACACAGGCTCACATTTGTCTGCTAGAAAAGTTCTATTTTGTATATATGTATGTATGAATCCGTGCCTGTATGTTTTCTTGTGGACACGGCAGCTACACAGGCCACTCCGGGATCCGCAGTGTTTTATTTTTACCATAACAGGTGCTGCATGTTTGTCTCTGCCTGAGTTTACTATGTTCCCTAAAAAGTTGAGATATCACATTTTCTCAAGTTGTTTTATGCATTTTGTTGTTGTTTTGAGACTGGGTCTCTTTAACAAAGCCTGTCCTGGAACTCACTCTGTAGACCAGGCTGGTCTCAAACTCAGAGATCCACGTGCTTCTGCCTCCCAAGTGCTGAGATTAAAGGCATGGGACCACTTGAGTACAGTCAGTACTTTTTGCATTCTGTATAATCAAGCTTGTTATTTAGTTTTTGAGACAGGGTCTTCCCCTGTAGTCTAGGCTTACCTGAAACTCTCTTTTAGTCTTCCTATCTCAGCCTTCTATGTTGGGATTATAGGCATGAACTGCCCTACCCATTTTGTATGCCATTACAACTGAAAATTAATACTTTTATTCAATACAGCTATCAATAGAGGCTAAAACTACCTGGTACAAAGTAGACATTATATACTGAATACATAAATGCACAGCTTCCAAGAGCTTTATTCATGCTTTTCTTTTTCCTTCTAGAACAGATTCACAGTACACAGCATGGTGCATGGCTTTTACTGTGATTTTATAATAGACATTAAGTAGGCACAGACCCTATCTCAAATGACTCACTGCTGGCAGAAAGCTTGACTAGTAGGCTACTAAGTCCAGCAAGTTTTCTTTGAGACCACAGCCCAGGGCTGTCACATAACTAGTTTATTCATCTGGTGTATATTCCATCATAGTTTTAATTATAACCAAATTACTTATTTTTTATCTTCATTGAATGTGTCTTTTGACTACAATAAATTTCTCAACTGCTTAAATACCCCCCGCACAAAGCTTTCTGAGTCTTTATTTTTCTAAATTAAAACATAGAAGCTGGTATGGTGTTACACGCCTTTCCCAGTATAGGTAAGGCACCAGTAGGATCTCTGAGTTTGAGGTCAGCCTGATCTACAGAGGAAGTAGTTCCAGGATAGCCAGGCAGGGCTACACAGAGAAATCCTGTCCAAAAAACAAACAAACAAACAAAAAAAACCCCAACCAAACCCAGAAGAACCAAGCAATAACTGAGGCTCAGTAATCTAGAAGTCAGAACATATAAGAGGGATGCTGTGGAACACAACCCAAACCAACCAATCAACCAAACCCAGAAGAACCAAGCAATAATTAAGGCCCAGTAATCTGGAAGTCAGAACATATAAGAGAGATGCTGTGGCCATCGGCACAGATCACACAGGAAGATATGGGAGAAAGATAAGAGGTGTTCTAGCCCAGAGTGACTTTGGAGAAATTACATTCGGAAGATTCAATCCCTATCTCTACCCCAGTATGACACCATAATGCAGCTCTGACATATGCTTGTTCCTTTGTTGCTACATAATCAGAACCCTCAAGTCCTTCAGCAGTGGCCCCCAGCACTAACATTACCTTCAATGTAAAAATGTGCCTATTTGCGGTCACTTCTACCACCAGCTGCAGCAACAGAGCTTGAGCTGCAAGGAAAACACAGTGCTTACTATCAAGGGTGTTTGTGTCTAATACTCTGTCAAACCATGGTGGACTACTATGAAGTTCTAGGAGTGCAGAGATATGCGTCACTGGAGGACATTAAAAGAGCTTACCGTAAAGTGGCACTTAAATGGCATCCTGATAAAAATCCAGAAAATAAAGAAGAAGCAGAGCGAAAATTCAAAGAAGTCGCCGAGGCATATGAAGTATTATCAAATGGTGAAAAACGGAACATTTATGACAAATATGGCAAAGAAGGATTAAATGGCAGAGATGGAAGTCATCTTGATGATGAATATGAGTATGGCTTTACATTCCGTAAGGCAGATGAAGTCTTCAAAGAGATTTTTGGTGAAAGGGACCCATTTTCATTTCACTTCTTTGAAGACTCACTTGAGGACCTTTTGAGCAGTTCGAGAAGCTCTAGTGGAAGCAGAAGCAGAGGCACCGGATCCCTTTTCTCTTGTTCGTATGACCACCCAGTGTTTGCCAAGCTTTCTTCTTATGACACAGGATATACGTCTTACGTTTCACTGGGGCACGAGGGCCTTACTTCATTCTCTTCCCTGGCATCTGATGACACTGGGATGGGCATACCCATCACACCTTCAGGCAGAATTGTTAATGGAAGGAACATCAATACAAAGAAAACCTTTGAGAACTATCAAGAAAGAGAAGCTGAGGATGATGGTGAGTTGAAATCCTTTCTTCTAAATAGTGTGGCAGATGAAGAGGGCTTTGCAGAAAAACGACACTGGAGAAGACAGTCGCTCAACAACTATTCATCAAACTCCTACAGCCCCCCAAACATATCTCAATATACTACTGTGGACAACAATGAACAAGGTACACCTTGGGTCACCAGCAAGAAGGAGCCTTCCATTTTCTCAGCAGGATTCAAAGAAGGTGGTAGGAGAAAAAAGAAGAAGCACAAAGAGGGGCAGCAGAAGAAGTCAAACAAAAGGAATCACTAATTACCTCTTCAGACACATTATGAGCATATAACATTTAAACACCACTCTTTTGTGTGTTTTGGTTAATCAAAGAGTTTCATAGATAATATTTGTTAATACTATGTAAGAATAGGTGGGGGTCTTTGGTTTTGTTTTGTTTTTGTGTGTTTTTGAGACAGGGTCTCAACTATGTACCCTAGGCTGGCCTGGAACTTGCTACAGAGACAAGGATGGCTTCAAACTCACAGAGATCTGCCCATCTTTGCCTCTCAGTTGCTGAGATTGAAGGTGTACACTACCATGCCTGGCTTAAATTTTTTTTTTTTTACAGGATTATGGACATTTGGTCAGTAGTTGTGTGAATAAGTTATATCAGAAAAGGATGAATTTGTGGGAACAGTTATTTTAAAACTATGGGAAACTACAAAGACTTTTAATGTTTTATTTACTTTTGAGTTTTTTGAGCATTTTCCCCAAGAGTTTATGACCCATTTAATTCCTTTAGTACCATCACAAACTCCTGGTAAATGTATATTAGGAGATAAAAGTCTATGAAGGATTATAGGTTCAGATTCTAGCAGTATTTTCTTTTAAGTTTGAAGTAATCAGTCATATCTTTTAAGTTTGAAGTAATCAGTCATATCTGTACAGATGTTCACAGCAGCTCTGCTCACAGTAGCCAAGAGGTAAGAACAACCCAAATGCTCATTAAGGACCTAAGATATTAACAAAAATTAGTAAGTAGCCACACTTATGAGCATATGCATGCCTACGAGCATGTACACACACACACACACACACACACACACACACACACACACACAGACATGCAGTCTCCTGATAGTCCCTTCCTCTGAATTTTTGAAATATTAAAATCTTAAGATGCTAAGTGAAATAAGCCAGTCACCCATAAACAAATATTAAAAAGTAAATGTTACACAGTATCTAAAGCAGTCTAATTGAGATAGAAAGTGGGGAAGAAGCTGTTTTGTGGGTACAGAGCTTTAGATCTGCAAAATAAAAACATACTGGAACCTCACTTCTCAACAATGTGAATATATTAATATCAATGAACTGCACATTAAAAATGTCTAACATGGTAAACTAAATTTAGTGTGTATTATACTACAAGGATTACCCACAATTCCTTGGAATAAACATGGCTGTATCATGAGCTGCAGGTCACCAGCCACTCTCTCCAGATAAGAAATGTTTTAGTTTTATTGTGTCTGTATGTAGGATCTACAAATGCTTTACTATAAAATAGCTACAGCTAATTCATTTGAAGATCATGTTGGGAGAAAAAATGGTAAATTACAAATGCATTAGGTACCAAACAAATGGTTTGAGCTGAATACTTTTTATTTAAATTTGTTTCTTTTAAAAATAAATTAACGGGGCTGGAGAGATGGCTCAATGGTTAAGAGCACTGGCTGCTCTTTCCAGAGGTCCTGAGTTCAATTCACAGCAACCACATGGTGGCTCACAGCCATCTGTAATGAGATCTGGTGTCCTCTTCTAGCATGCGGGCATACATGGAGGCAGAATGTTGTATACATAATAAATTTAAAAAAAAAAAACAAAACAAAACCAAAAAAACAAAGAAAAAAAATAAATTAACTTGGGGCTGAAGAGATGACTCAGCGGTTAAAACCACTGGATGCTCTTAAAGAGTACCTGGCTTCAACTCCAGCACCTGCATGGCAGGCAGCTCACACCTGTCTGTAATTCCAGCTCCAGGAGTTCTGACACCTTCACACAGATAAAATATGCACATAAAATAAAAAAAACCTTTTACTTTAACCCTGTCATATCTTAGCTTTCTGTAATGCTTCCATCTTCATGATGCTTCTCCACATTTTATTCATCCTCTCAGCCACTGAACACTGAGCACTATGATTTGAGGGCCTACTGCCTGTTGAGTGAGCAGAGTAAGGTATTTGAGGGACACACAGCACTATGCAAACAAAAGCCACTGAGTCTACAAACTGGAGACATATCTAAGTAAAACAGGATTTGCTAGGTTTTTTTAGTTGCTTGATTAAAGAGATGGAGCAAAGAAATTTTGGAGTATAGAATTATAATTTTTCCATGTGGCTATTTGATGAAACAATCCCAGATATTGGACTAGCAAGGTGTAACATTCCTGCTGTAGGCTGCATGGGAGGAGTCTGAGGAGCACTAAGACCAGTGCTGCAGGTTAAGGATAGCAAATGGACGAAGCCAAAGCCCTGAAAGAAAGCAGATTCTTCAGGAGCTGCTTGGTTCACAAGCATGTTAACTACTGCATGGGAGGAAGTAAGCCACAGGAGGCTCCGAGGAGAGGAATCACATATTCAAATTGGACTTCTTCGCAGTTGCCAAAAGACTCAAGCAAGGGTAGAAAAAGAGAAATTAAAATATTGCCACAGTTTGGTCCAAGGTGGTGGCAATGGGGTCTGTGTGACTTAAAAGTGATAGCATTAGGATATACTAAAAAGGTAGAACGAACAGGTTATGCTGATAGGGTATGACAGAAGTGGAGACCAACAGGCTTTGGAACACAGGAAACAGCAGCGCAGGGGCTAAGTTTTGGCTATGCTACACAAACTTTATTAAGCATGAAAACAATTTGCTGCATGACTTGTGTTTACACAATCTGTCATTAACTTCTTCCTTTATTACATTATTGGCCATATATGTATCCTTTTTTCTTTTTGTATTTTAGAAATGTAATTATTGTCAATTCTAAGCATTATCAAGCTTCTAGTCCCAAAATTCTTATAAATTACAGTATTAAAGGGTGCAAACAAATCATCCAGCAACACTGAAACCTATCACCTTTGTTCAAACACTAAACTGAAAGCCAGAAACAACTTACTTTCCTTCCTTTGATCTGTTTTTCAAGGCAGGTTTCTCTGTCTGTTTACCTACCTACCTACCTACCTATCTGCTTTTCAAGACAGGTTTCTCTGGTTGTCCTAGACCAGGCTGGCCTCAGCCTTGAATCAAGAGATCACCTGTTTTTGCCTCCAAAGTGCTGGGATTAAAAAAAAAAAATTCTGTGCCACCACCGTCGGTATAACTACTATTTTTAAATAATTCCCATAGCAAATGTAAACTTTTGCTTAGTATTGTCTGATTCTCAGTGGGGAGGAAAGGTAATTTATCCTTTAGGAGAAACTGGGGACAATTAGCATCCAAAGTTATTTTCAGAAAATCATAAAAGCTTAGACTATTTTAAATGCCATTAACATAAAATGTGTCACTTAGATTAACCTGTCTCCATGAAGGAGTAAGGTTGGAAATAAGAAAATCCATTTCCAGAACCAAAACCCAACATCTCAAAAACAGCAAGACTGTAATTATATGTCCTCCAATTCATCTCTCCTTTCTTTGAGCTGGATTTCATGTAGCTCAGGCTGGCCTTGAACTTGCTAAGAAGCCAAGGATGAACATGAACTTTTGATCCTCCTGCCTCTATCTCCCAAGTGCTAAAATTATAGGAATGTGCTACCACATCTGGCCCTTTATCCACTTTTAGCTAAAAATTTAGATTCAATTATCTTTCTCAATGTTTAAATTAAAAAAAAAAAAGCTAGCTGACTGGAGGTGGTAGCACACACCTTTAATCCCAGCACTTGGGAGGCAGAGGCAAGTAGATCTGTGAGTCTGAGGCCAGCCAGGTCTACAAAACGAGTTCCAGGACAGGCTCCAAAGCTACACAGAGAAACCCTGTCTTGAAAAACAAACAAACAAAAATGGTGTAAGAGGTCCTTCTGTGTTTGTGTTGCTTTCATTGGTTATTAAAGAAACTGCCTTGGCCTAGTTGATAGGGTGGAACTCAGGTAGGCAGGGATGACAGAACAGAATTCTGGGAAGAAGGGCAGATTGGCAGACACCATGGTTCTCCTGCCCAAGACGGACGCTGGTTAGAATCATGCCGTCAGCCACAGTCAAGTGGAGATACACATTAATGGAGATGGGTTAAACTAATATGTGAGAGTTAGCCAATAAGAGGCTAGAGATAATGGGCCAGGCAGTGTTTAAATGAATACAGTTTCTGTGTGATTATTTCGGGTGTAAGCTAGCTGGGCGGCCAATACCAAAAGCAGGCCCTCTCTCCTCACAACAGAGTGGTGCCCAACGTGGTAAACAGACTCCGTGTAAAATCCGAGAGAGCTTCAAAAAGAATACAGAGTTTAACACAGCTTCTTGCTGTTTGCTGGTGGCTTGCTGCAGCTGCTTTAAGAGATTTTCCTGATTCAGCTGTAGCAAAAACAAAACAAAAAACAACAACAAAAGCCTTGCCATTTTAGAACAAGGCTTCCTGGGCCCTGCCGCCAGTGCAAACTCTGACTATGGAGCACTTGTGGGCCCGGATGTTTGTGTGCCCACTCCGTGTTGAGAACAAAGTACCTGAGACCATGCCTGTGGCTTGACGCTCCCGGCCTGGGCAGAATGTTAGCCAATAAGAGGCTAGAGATAATGGGCCAGGCAGTGTTTAAATGAATACAATTTCTGTGTGATTATTTTGGGTGTAAGATAGCTGGGCAGGATGGAACAAAGGGCCCATTCCCTTCAACACAAAAGGTTGGGCAGTAGTAGCACCTACCTTTAATCCCAGCAATTGGGAGGCAGAGGCAGGCTGATCTTTGTTGAGTTTGAGGCCAGCCTGGTCTATAAAGCGAGTTCCAGGAGAGCCAGGACTATCTCACAGAGAAGCCCTGTCTCAGGGGGGAAAAAGTTCCCCTACTCTCCAGGTTGGTCTTGAACTCAGATCCACTTACTCCTGCTTTCCCAGTACTGGGAAGTATGCACCACAATACCCAGCTCTCATTGTTTCTTGATAGAATCTACAAGGTCTTCACTGAGCCAAAGTCCAGCTTTTTCTAATATGTCCAGGAATTACAGTCCAAGTCTTACTACAAGATAGATTTTGTCAGTCACTGCTAATTACATCATCTTCCTTTTAGAATTTAAGATTAACTGGGAGTGAACAGATTGCAGCTTATGCATTAGACCAAATAGTCATTTTGATATAAATACCTTCAAATGATATAAATACCTTGAAAATACTTCAAAACATTACCATCCATATAAAATGAAAACACTTCCGGGTTCTACGGCCATGCATGTGCGGACAGGCCCTCAGGCAGAAGTGCCTAATGGTCCCGGGGCCCCCACATGTGTGGTTATATCACACACGGATGATTCAGCTAAGACCTTGGGTGCATGTGTGAGCGCCGTCATCTGCGTATGACGTAGTCAAGTCAACCTCCTGTGCACGTGTTAGACAGCTTTTAAATGAGGGACGTGCCATTTCTCTCCCTCTCTCTCAACTAAGAGGACTTCAAATCAGCAAAATTTGCAGGGCTGGGGTGTGTGTGTGTGTATAATTCAGTGGTAGAGTCAGCTCCAGGTTCAATCCCCATCACCCACAATCAACCAACCAAAAAACCTACTCTCACTTCAGATATTCATACCTTCCTCAGGAAAGTTTCTTTTTCTTTTTTTTTGGGGGGGGGAAGGGTCTCAATTATGTAGCTCTGGCTGTCCTAGGCCTCACTATGTAGACCAGGTTAGCCTCAAATTCCGAGATCCACCTGCTTCTACCTCCCTAGTGCTAGGATAAAAAGCATGCACACATCACCTGGGTTAGGAAGCTTCTTAAGGCAGTCAATAGTCTTCAATCTAGAGCAGTTCTCAGCACGCGGGGTGTGACCCCTTTGGGAGTTGAACGACCTTTCACAGGGGTTGTATATCGGATCCTATACATCAGATGTTTACGCTTCATAACAGTAGCAAAATTATAGTTATGATGTAGAAATGAAAAAAAAATATATTTTTGGTTTGGGTCAGCACATGAACTCTATTAAGGGGTAGAAGCATTAGGAAGTTTAAGAGGCAACGATTTAGAGTCTTTCTAAAGAAAGGCAACCACAATGTAGTTGGGGAGGTAAGTTCTGGGAGGAGGGGTGAATGACTCAAATACATTGTATGGAAGTATTGACGAATTAATAAGAGTATATTTTTAAAAAGAAGAGTAAGCAACACCACAGACAGTCCAAGTCCTATTCACAAGAAACTCAAACCCTAACTCCATGGATAGCCATTGCTTAAAATGCAAATGCATTCCTATCTTTTCTTTGTTCTGTTATCCCTTGGGTCAAGATTGTAATTTTTCAGCCATAAGGTCATCCGTTGCTTGTCTATCTCCCAATCCTAGACTGTGAGCAACAGTGGGGAGTAGAGATGCATCGACATTAGCTACTGACTCAAAAGTAACTCAATGAAATTGCAGTTTTTGGCTCACAAAATGAGAAGCGGCAAAAAAACTCTAACTAGCAGAATTCAGACTCAGAAGTGGTATAAAGACTAGACATAACCATGTAACAAACATCGGCCTCAATCGCGGTTCAGTTCCGCATTGGTATACTGAAGATTCAATGCCTCTCCTTCATTAAGCTAAAAAAAAAAAATTTAGTGGGAATATAAGATACTGAATTTACTTTTCTTAGAGGCAAACTACAATAAATTTACAAGATTTTTATGTATTTTAGTTCAGTACCTAGTCCTAAAGCTGGATCAAATCGGGGTTTACACGAAGTTCAACAAAGTTAAAGATCAGAATCAAGAAGATGTCTCTGGCTGGTCATAGGCCTCTGTGATAATAACTGATCAACCGCTCATTTATTTTCATTCCTCCCTTCAAAGGCACAACAAACTTTAAAGAACAAGCTTGGTGCAATGAACAATTTTTTTAAAATAGAAAGCTGATATAAAAAATTCAATTTCAGCGAGCCCAAGTCTCACACACAAATGCCAAGACAAGTTTTGATGTCAAATACCCTATTTTCTGGTTAACATTCTGCACAACTCATCTGAAATATAATCCAATATTTGATACCCTTGGTAGGTGGATGACACATTTTTCAGTATAAAATTTTATGTTAATCAGATTAATTGCTCATCACACTGTACGCTGAAGGTTAGCGGTCTCTGCGCCGTTTGACTGTTCATAAAAGACTTTTAGCCATGTCCCCCTTATCTCCAGTACTTTGTGAACTGAACTGACATTTGTTCCTGAACGTGTTTCTTCCATTTTTCGTGCTAGCTCCCCTTTGAAACCTTTGAAAACCGGACAGATTTTACGTCGCCCTAACAGAAACAAACGGTACTTGACATGCAATACTTTAGCCAAGTTTGATAAGAGATACAAATTCCGAATTCGAACATCTTTGAAGACAGTTCCTCGGGCTTTCCCTCTCTTCAGACATTTCAGCTTCCCAGAATATCAAACTAAAACCCACTTTCTCAGAGCAGCTGGTCAAAAGAAAAATCCGTGGGGGCCCAGGAGCCGACCGGTCTAGAACCAGGCTCATCAACTTGTAGCTCTTTGGACTGTTTTAGGCTTCTCTAAGGGAAGACTTGGAGGGGACCCCGGCGGGAAAGACTCTAACCTGAGAGGCCGCGGAGCCTGGCTATTACGGGAACCAGCTTGGGGGTTGAGAGCAGGGAAGGCATGGCCAGCACACACGCGTCAGGAAGAGACAGTACGAATTGCAGGGGGGAAAGAATCCGCCAGCACAGCCGCGTCGCCAGGAAACCAGCCAACCGCCCGGCCCCTTCCGGCAGGCGCCGCTCGCGGGCTTTCTTCCTGCGGCGGCGCGGAGCGGTGACGTCACCCGGCTGGGTTTTGGCGCGCCCGTCCCACAGGCCCCGCCTCTTTCCACCCCCGTAGGGCGTCTCGTTCTGCTTAACGTTCACCTTCACAGAATATCCTATTCCAAATGTCTCCCTGTCTGCCGCTCGAAAGCACTGACGCAAGGGCTTTCATCTAGCCCAGGAGCTAGATCAGAGTTAAAAATACGCGTAAGAGTGTCGGGGTCTAGAAGCAGGCAGTATCACGGACAGCTACATTTCCAGAAGCTTCGAGGCGGCGCACAAGTCCAGAGGTAGAGGGAGTGGGAATGAGCGAGCGAAGGCCCGGGGTCACGAGGCCGTTGGTGGGGAGGAGCCAGCGGCCGGGGAGGTTCTAGTCTGTTCTGCCTCGCGGCAGCCGCCCCCTTGCACTCGGTCACGTTGAGCCGCGCCCGGGCCTCCACAGCCGCCCCTCGCCTCCCGCCTCTTGACCATGGATCCCCGCAAAGTGAACGAGCTTCGGGCCTTCGTGAAGATGTGTAAGCAGGATCCGAGCGTCCTGCACACCGAGGAAATGCGTTTCCTGAGGGAGTGGGTGGAGAGGTGAGCCCTGGGCCCCGCGGACCGTTGGGGACGGGAAGAGTGGGGAGCTGGGCCCGAGCTAGCGTGGGGCGGAGGGTAGCGGGTCTAGGCCCCTCCGTGGTTCGCTCCCCAGTGGCTTTGAGAGGTTATCCGGGGGTCAGAAGCTTCGGGTAGTTTCGGGGTGAAAAAGCAGAGGTTAGAGCTGGGTTTCCCACAACGAAGTCTCCAGGGGGGTGTGTTTTGGGAGAAATAAATGTGGAGAATTGTGGGGATTTGAGCACTGGAAATAATGCGCGAAACAAGACAAAGCATATATAGAGGGGTTGTTTTTGAAACTGGCGTCTTGCTTAAGTTGCCTTGACCCATATATTGTTTTAACTGCTATCTTAATAGTGGTAACTCACTTAATCTCTGATACCTTAAATTATCTGTAACGTACGGTACTTAGATTTTAATTGCTTGGAATTGTGTTAGGAATCATTTGTACCTAAGGTAATTGTAGCGCCCGTCACTTCAGACCCTGTAGCAAAATGGTTTTGCAAAGCCCAGCGTGCTTGCAGGACTAACTGGAGAGTGTTTCGCCTGCGTACGAGTAATTCCGTGAACTGATCCTGTGCCGGCTGCTGGGAGACTGGATTGCTCGGATTTGGCTTTCCCCTTCGTTCTTTTGGCTCGTCGATAAAAGATTTTTAGGACAGAATTAACAGGAAGCTTGAGGAGCATTAGAATTTGGGCGGGGGGTGGGGGACACAGTGCTGGCAAGCTGTAACTCTCGGCAGCTGCCAGGGAGGAGGGGGATGAAGAGAAAGTTAAGTCATGCCTTCCGAATTAGGGCCCGCAGTGGAAGCTTACAAGCAGTTGTAGAAATGGGGGAGGATCTTGAGGAAAAGTGAGAATTCAGTGCCAGGTCGAGCTTGTTAAGAACTTTAGTTAATATCCAAAGAAGAGATGGGGGAAAGGTGAAGTTCTATTTTTAATTAGAATCCGGAAAAAAGCAGTCTTAGTTGTGGAGGTCTGAAAGCTTCTCCATGGAGAGAAGGACTTCTGGGCTTTACTTTGTTAAGGTCAGTTATTTCATTTCTCTTGCATATCTTAAGGTGAATCAGCTTTTCTGAGGGGTTGTTTTCTGGGTTAACTCTTTAGGGGAGGACCCAATAAATAACATGTAATCTTTTTTCTTTTTAGAATTTATTTGTTATTTATTTGAGATAGGCTCCCACCATGTAGCTCTGCATACTGAGAACTTGTATAAACCAGACTGGCCTCAAAAGCAGAGATCCACCTGTCTCTGCCAGGTATTGTGATTAAAGCCGTCTGCCAACACACGAGCAGTTTCATTTCTTAGGTTATTTTATGTGTATTGAGTGTTTTGCAAGTATACACATGCTCGAGACCCAGGGAGGGAAGAGGGCACTGGATCTTTTGGATATAGAGTTGTGGATGTCTGTACTCCATCCACTATTGTGGGTGTTGGGAATGCAAGAGCAGCAAATACTCTTAATCCCTGAACAATCTCCCCAGCCTTGGTATGTAATGTTTTGGGTGGTTTAGAATGTAATGTCTCCAGGGACAGGAGAAACTCAGATTCTTTTCCTTTCACTAGGAGCTTCGTCATATCCCCGATACTCTGACCTAGGAAGTACTCTTTCATGTTTTAAATTTATTGTTAGAAAGATGTATGTTTTATGTATTTTGCTTGCACTTTACTAAGTACACTGCACGCCTTTTAGTGAAGCAAGAATAGGTATCCAATCCTTATGAACTGTTGTCACACAGTTGTGAACCACCATGTGGGTGGGTGCTGGGAAATAAACCCAGGTTCTCTGAAAGAGCGGCAAATACTCTTAACTGGTGAACTGTAATCTCTCCAACCCTTCCATATTTTAAACCTACCAAATGGCAAAGCTGATGCTTCCCTTTCAAGTGTTAACTAGGAAACAAGAGTTGTGGTTCAAGGCTGGTTGTGACAGAAGAGGTCCATTTTGAATGGGCTTCAACCCTTCTAATCTGTATAGCTGAGTATTAACTGTTTAGGTGGTTGTGACACACGTGTTCAAAGTCAGCAGGTAGCGGTAGGCAAATCTCTTTGGGTTTGAGGCCACCCTGGTCTTCAGATCGAGTTCCAGGACAGTCAGGGTTACAGAGAAACCCTGTCTCAAAAAGCCGAGGGAGGGGGAGAACAGATGAATGGTACAAAGTTTATTTTGATAATTACATTCTAGTAGTTTAGCAATCTCCATATTGGAGGGGAGGCTCCTTAGCTGACAAAAGAAGGGCTGCAAATCTTGTCCAGGAAGGGGTTCTTTCAAAAATTACTTCTAGTGGGAGGGTTAGTGCTCGTTCCAGCATATTCCTCCCCCCTCCCCCAAAGAAACTCACCCTGCTAGCAAGGAATTATAAAGTGGGAACAGTGGGGCAACATGTTGTTGACTTCCCAGTTACTCTGAAGGTTGAGGCAGCTGCAGGCTGGTTGAATATAGCGGGACCCTGATTAAAGACAAAATCCACTTCCACTCCCTAAAAGAATAAACAAACCCTCACATTAAAGTTGCATTTCAAGGCCGCTGGAGAGATGGCTCAGAGGTAAAGAACACTGGCTACTCTTCCAGAGGTCCTGAGTTCAATTCCCAGCAACCACTTGGTGGCTCACAACCATCTCTAATGAGATCTGGTGCCCTCTTCTGTACTGTAGGATACATGCAAGAAGAACCCTGTATACATAATAAATAAAAATCTTAAAAAAAAAATAAAGTTGCATTTCAAGAGGGTGGAGAAATGCTGCTTTAAAACATGAGCAATAACTGGTGTAGTCATTTTCTGTGGGGAAAATGGGACTGGTGATTACTAAAACTATGAGACTAGTTCTCTGAGCAGGCATATTCTCCAAAAGCAAGTCAAAATGTCAGTGTTTTGTGTGGTAGCGTTTTCCCCATTAAGCCTTTTATTTTTCTCTCTGCCATTTTTATAACTGCTCTAGGATTTTTACTTGTTGAATAAATAGAACTCTAAAAGTTTATTATTGTAGTAACTTTATTAAAACAATGGAAGAGAATCCTGTTTTGTAGGTCTGAGGTCTGGTTGCGCACCTGTGTAACTTGGCTTTGAGCCCTGATGCACACCCTTCAACAATCCCCCCCCTTTTTTTTTTTCCTTTGAAATTTTTGCTTTCTCAAAAACAAAAAACTCCATGTTGCCATTAGATCATTGTTAGGACTGAGAATTGAGACAGAATTTTAGTGGTTTTTCTCTGATGAACAGCTTGTTAATCCTAAAACTTAAGATATTTCTGTTCTGAGCCTGGAGAGATGACTCAGGTTGAAAGCACTGCCTGCTCTTCTAGAGGTCCTGAGTTCAATTCCAGCAACCATCTGGTGGCTCACAATCTGTGATGAGATCTGGCACCCTCTTCTGGACTGTGGGCATAATAAATAAATTTTTTTTAAAGGTATTTCTGTTATTTGATCCACTCATAGCTTGTTAAAGGAAGGATTCCCAAATAAACTATTACTAAGATTTTAGGTGAAACAGACAAATCAAAGGAGAAAACTTAAATTTTTGTTTTCCCTCATTCCTCTTAGGAAGAGGGGATGATGAAAAATAGTTAAAAATATACTTTTTGTTTATTTTGCTTTTCAAGACAGGATCTCTCTGTGTAGCCCTGGCTGTCCTGGAATTCGTTCTGTAGATCAGGCTGCTACCTCTGTTTTCCAAGTGTTGGGATTAAAGTATATGAGCCATCACCAGTAACCAGTGATTTTTTTTTTTATATCAAATATAATGTTAGTCTGAACAAAGGCAGCATTTATAGCAAACTGTTTTCAACACCTTAATTTTGAGCGGACACTGACTGTATGGAAAAAGAACTCAAATGGTTTCAACTCTGTTAATAACAATTTAAGATAATGTTATTAATAACGTAATAACACAAATGTTAATAACATGAATAGTCCTGGATCTAGAAGTCTCGGTACTTAGCCCAATTTGCAGTGGCTGACAAAGATGCAGAGGAGAAAGAAATGAAATAATCTTATTTAAAATTATCACATATACAAAAATGGAGGTTTTCAGTTCTAGGGACTGAATCCATCAGAGCATGTTAGGCAAGTACTTTACTAACTGTGCTACATACCCACTCAATCTAGTTTCAACTTAGATTGAAATAAAGGTAACAAGAGACTGGACGTGGGTGACGCACATCTTTGATCCCAACATCTGGGTGGTAGAGGCAGGT